AATGATTTACCAACAGTAAAACCGGTTTGGTAGTTGTGATTCCATTTCTGAAACTATTTCTGAGGTAGTTTGGATATGGTTTTCCGGATTTACTCATTGCCCCTAAAATCTAATTCGTACAGCTATTTTAACATTAATTTGGTGCATAAACCACATTGAAGTGATCCTAACTGGCAAGATTCATGAAGCATTAGAGAGTTTCAACAAGGACATATATGGGAAATGGAAAAAATGTCTTACTGATGCAGTAATGGGTCCACTGACACTTGGGTTAAAGTACATTTTGTTGGGGAAAGCAAAAAAGTTTTACTCTTCAACTAATCAGCAATAAATAACTTAAGTTATTAAACCAAACCAAACAAAGAACTGGAGAAAATACCAAAGGGTAGTGTAGACAATGCCAGATTGCATTTTAACCCTTCAAATCCAGACTGTAACCCAGTCAAGGCTTGCAATTGTTGATAATAGAATAGATTACACTGAACACTAGAATAAGTTGACATATTTTGAAATCAAGCTTCAGAAGTTTTTAAAATAGATGCTAATGTTATACGGTGATAATGATGTGGTCCTCATCACACTAATGCTACATGATCAGCTGTTTCCTATGATTATAGTCCCTCAGTCCCCACAATTAGTTCATTTCCCGTTCGGTCCTCACTCCTCACAATTAGTTCTTTTCTTATTAGTCTCTCAGTGCTCACACATAGTTTCTTTTATGTTAGTCTCTCAGTTCCCACAATGGGTTCCTTTCCTAGGAGTCCTCCAGTTACTTAAATTAATTCCTCTCCTATTTGTTACATAGACTGGGAGCCACTACTCAAGGGCAAATGAGTTGAGGATAAACGGATATACTTAAATAAAACATTATGCAGTGTATGCAAGACAAGTACATATCCAAGTACACAAGGGGCAAATTAAACAAAAATGCTTCAACAGTGGATCAATGGGAAAAATAATAAGAGATTACAAAGAAAAAAGGAAAATGTATACAGCTTGTTAGGAGAAAGGAGTGGGTGACCATTGGGCTGAAAACAAGATATTACAATAAAGAAGTAAAAAAAGAGATTAGGAGAGTCAAGAGAGAACTAGAAAGGGACATAGCAGCAAATACAAAACATTACACCAAAAAAGTCTTTCATTATTATAATAACAAGCGGGTAGTCAGGGAAAACGTTAAGGGGTTCAAAGGGAATTGAAAATGAGAATGAACAGGAGATACCAAACATATTAGATAATTACATTATGGAGTTTTTTTTAACCAGGGGGTGGGGTGGGGGAGTTATAAACAACTTCCCAATATCCAGCAAACATTATTTGAGCTCCAGGATTTTGTCATGAATGCGACTGATGTTCTGGATAGGCTTAAAAAACTGAAAACCAACAACTCCCACGGGATCAATGAAATATACCTCAGAGTACTGAGAGAGACAAAGCAGGAGATTTGTGAAGCATTCACAGACATTATGAGAAAATCAATCATCATTGGTGAGGTTTCAACAGACTGAAAACGAGTAATTCTGATTTCTAAATTCAAGTGGCAAAACTATACCTGGCATTTTGTCACTTCTTCATAAACCCATTAGCCTCAATAAATGGAAAACTGATTGAGTCAATCATCAGAGAAAATGGAAGATTACTTGTGTTAAAATAATCTAATAAATGACACCCATCACAGATTCAGAAAGGGTAGATCTTGCCTGATCAACCTCATCGACTTTTTTGAGGAGGTGACAGTCCAAATTGACTGTGGGAAGCCAAATGATGTAATATATCTAAACTTGTAAAAGTGTTTTACAAAGCACCATGTGAAAGATTTCATCACAAACTGATGTGACTGGGTATCAAGAGTAAGGCCATGGACATAAAATCTAAAACTGTTTTAAGGAAAAGAAGCAGAGGGTACTTGGCAGGGAATCTAAGTAAAAATGTGGAGTTATTAATTGGGATGCTTCAGAAGTCTGGAATGGTTCCCTTCCTATTATTTATATACATTAATGACCTGGATTTGCAGAGTACGAAGATGTTACATTTACAGAAGACATTAATTCCAATGCCCTCCTCGCCAGTCTCTACTATCCACAAATCCAACGAATTCAAAACTCTGCCATCGACCCTCTAAACTCCGTACCCTCATCACACGAGTCTCCACTGGCTAACACAGAACTGATTGACTTCAAGGTACTCACTCTCGTCTACAAATCCCTTTGTGCCCTGGGATCTCCCTATCTCTCCGACCTGCTTACTACCCACTCTACCACCTGCCGCCTCTGCGCAACTGACTCCAGCCTCCTGCTTGTCCCTCATCGCTGCATTCCACCACTGGCATACATGCTTTCATAGAATCATAGAATTATACAGCACAGAAGGAGGCAATTCAGCCCATCGTGTCTGTGCCAGCTCCTTGAAAAGAGCTATTCAATTCAATCCCACTCCCCTGCTCTCTTCCCATAGCCCTGCAAACCTGTCCTCCCCAAGTGGCTTTCAGCCACTACACCCCAATACTTTGAAATTCTCTCCCTTAATCCCTCTGCCTTGTCCCCTTATTCTCTATTTTCAGATCATGCCTGAAAACCCTCATCTTTGAGGCTTACACTCACCTCCCCCTGACTTGGCGTCAGGCGCTGCCACCGCTAAATGCTCCAAAACGCTACCCCACATAAATGCAGGTTGTTGTTGGGGGAAGAGAAGTGTGGAATCAGAAGAAGTCTTACAGAAAGTTTAAAATAGTATGCATGTTGGCTGCCAATTGGAAAATCAAGTTAAGTAGAAATAAACAAACGTACTTTATATACTCTGCCTCTTCGTCCTATTTGATAATAATAATAATCCTTGCATTTGATATAGTGCTTTTCACATCTTCTAGATGTCTCAAAGAGCTTCACAGAATAGACTGTAAAGTGAATTGACTGTATATTTGTGGGCAAAACGTGGCAGCCAATTGCGCACAGCAGTGTTCCACAAACAGTCGTGGATTGAAAATGAACAATTTATTATTGTTTTGTTTTGGAGGGATTATTATTAGGTGTGTGGAATAAGGAAGCTTGCCCAAGGTTTCACCCTGCCTGGAATGGAACCCAGGTGTCTCGCTTGCAAGGCGAGTGCTCTAACCACTGAGCTACAGGAATCCACTATGGCCTCTTAAGATGCATCAGATGTCCACATTCTTGAAACTAAGACTCAACGGTGACCATCAATGAAATATTGAAATTGATCTCTCTGCTGCTTTCGACACCGTTGACCACTCTATCCTCATCCATCGCCTCTCCTCTCACCTCAACCTTCACAGTTCTGTCCTTAAATGGTTCAGATCGAAACTCTCACACTGCCTCCACTTCATCTCCAAACAGTTTCTCCTCTAGCTCCCGCACTGTCTTATGCAGCGTTCCTCAGGCCTCTGTCTTTGGTCCCCTCCTCTTCAGCATCTATATGCTCCCTCTTGGTGACATCATCTTTAAACATGGGTCAACTTCCACATGTATGCGAATAACACACATCTCTACCGCTCTGTCAGACATCAAGTCCTGGATGAGAGCTAACTTTCTTCAGTTGAACGTCCACAAGACTGAGGCTCTCCTGATTGGCTCCTATCAGCGCCTCCTCAGCTCAGGCGCTGACAGCATCACCATCCATGGTTGCACACTCCACCTCACTGAGCCAGTCTGGTACCTTGGCATCTTGTTTGACCCTCAACTATCCTTTCTACCCCACATCCGTACCATGACCCGCTCTGCCTTCCCCCACCTCTGCAACATTGCCCGGCTCCACCACTGGCTCACACCACAGGCCACCAAAACCCTCATACATGCATTCATTACTTGACTATGCAAACTCCTTGCTTGTCGGCCTCCCCAGTTCCTCCCTCCATAGGCTGCAGATCATCCTGCACTCTGCAGCCCACGTCCTCTCCCTCACCAGGCTCCGTGACTCTATCACCCCCATCCTCACCCGACGTCACTGGCTTCCCATCACACAGAGGATCAGTTCAAGATTCTGGTCCTCACCTTCAAAGCCCTCCATGGCCTTTCTCCCCCTCTTCCTCTGCGACTTCCTAACCCACTACCATCCTGCTCGCTCCCTCCACTCCGGCCTGCTTCACGTTCCCTGCCTCGCACGCCCCACCATTGCCACTCTGCCCCCACCCTCTGGAACTCCATCCCACAGTCCCTCCACCACTCCCTCTCCCTTGCCTCCTTCAAGACCCATCTCAAGACCCTCCTTTCGATCACCCTGCTTCCCCCCCCCGCCCTCCACCCTCCCCAATTCCGACCCTCAGCTCGGGTCCAAAACACTGACTGTCCAGCGCCTTGGGACGTCCTCCCGACATGAAAGGCGCTATACAATATGTAATGTTGTTGTTATAGTAAGTAAAAATAGGAAAGACCTGTACTTGGTGGGTGGGATAGAACTTGCCAAGAGGGAAACTGAAAAAGATCTCAGGTTGTTAACCGTAAACAAGGCAAACTGGATCCTGGACTGCAGTGCCAATTTGGTTTGTGTCCAAGTCCCTTGAAGTTATATTCACGGTATACAGTGGATCCGGCCAGGCCGCACTTTTAAAACTTTAAAAAAATGGATTACAAACATTATTTGTTAAGACCGGCAATAATAATCCTTGCAATATCATGCGTTCAAGACGTCTCAATGGGCTCCACTGTAAAGTGAACGGACTGTATGTTTTTTAGGCAAAACAGAACTTTGCGGCACAGTAAGTAAGCGAACAAAACCGTGGTTTTATTTTCTAGTTTGTGTTTCCGACTGTTGATGCTGAAGGTCTCGGGGGCAGGATGTCCCGGGCGGGGTCTGGATGCTGGAGCTGTCTATCTCCCAGGAACAGGTCCCAAACTCGGCCTCAGAAGGTCTCACTGGTCCGGGTCACCGGCTCTCCCTCACTGCGGCTGCGCAGTTCTCCCACCTCTCTTCCACGGCGGCTGCGCAGTCTTCCCGTCTCCGTCATCTCGAAAACAGCAGCCGCCGTGTTTGTGGGGCTCCCGCGTCACAAGCACTTCCGGGGCACGGGGACACCCGGTGGTACCAGAGTCTGAGGAGCGCGGAGAGCGCGTGAGTGGTGATAGAGGGGACCATGGGAACGGAGAGGGGGCAATAGTGACGGGAGAGGGGGCACAATAAGGGGAGCGGGGCCATAGCAACGGGGAAGTTGCATGGAACCGGGGGAGTAGGAAAAAGGCAACGGGGAGGGAGGCCATGCAACGGGGAGGGGGGGTCATGGCAACGGGGAGGGGGGCCATGGCAACGGGGAGGGGGGCCATGGCAACGGGGAGGGGGGCCATGGCAACGGGGATGGCGGATCACCAGTGCACCACCTTGGTGTTCAATTTGATCTACAACTCAGATTGGGTTCCTGACCATGATTGATTTTCTACACCTTGGCCACATTGCAACCCCCCCCCCCCCCCATCTCATGCCAAACACCATTCAGCCCCTTGAAATCCTGACCCACCCCCCACCCCCCCACCATCCACAATCTCCAACTCATCTGAAACTCTTGTTCCCTCACTCTCTTCGTGCCACCATAGGTGACCAAGCCTTCAGCTTCTGCACTCCTAAGATCTGCAATTCCCTCCTCTCCTTTATCTCTCTCCTATTATTTAAAACTACCTTTTTAAATGCATTCTCGGTCACCTCCCTTCCCTTATCCCCCTCCTTCCTCACTCGGCATAATAATAATCCTTGCATTTGATGTAGCACCTTTATCGCGTAGTTGAGACGTCTCAAAGCACTTCACAGGGTATACTGTAAAGTGGAATGACTGCACTTTGCGAAATGCGGCAGCCTATTTCATGCAGCAAATGGCCCATAAACAACCATGGCATCTTATTCCATCCTTATGAAATGCTATGAGACATTATTCTATGATAAAAGCATTATATAAATGCAAGCTGTTATTGTGTGATTAATGATTCAAATGCTGTTCTTGCACATTTATTGATGAATAATAATCTTCTGTCTGCATATGTTTGGACAATACTCAATCCAACAAAATACAGTCTTTTTTGATTTTGTTTTTCTAAAGCTGAAACAAAACGCACGATTTGAGGAATTGTACAAATGGGTCTACTGTGTGTGCTTTGGACATGGAATCAGACACTAATGACACGCCAGGTACATATGGAAATTTTTGGAAATTAACAATTTTGTTTACAGATTGAGCCTGACTGTGGCTTGTCAGTAATTTTTCCATACTGTGGCTGGCATTAAAGTCTCGTATTAATTTTATTTCTTTGCTGATCCTTCTATTTTTAGAGCGCTGGTACCCAGGTGATCAGGTTCTTGCACCATTTTCCAAAGACGGGAAGCTGTACGAGGCTACAGTGAAGACTATATCTACAGATGAACACGGAAAAACTGTAGCAATTGTAAAATTCTCCAGCTTCAATGATGAAACTGTGCTAATTAACACGCTTAGAAGGAGAAAAAAGAAGGAACCCTTCCAGGGTTCTATATTTGATGATGAGGATCTGGAGAAGCCCTTTTTCCATGACAAAAAGCCTCCAGGCCCTGCGGTTTCTTTGAAGTTATCTGAGGATGGTGTATGTGTACCGTACACTATTAACAGATATTTACGAGATTACCAAAGAAATGGAATCAAGTTTTTGTACAAGCATTACATCAGTGGTAAAGGATGCATCCTTGGCGATGATATGGGACTTGGAAAAACCATACAGGTAATGAGCATCACTAAAGAAACTTGTGAAGGTTTGCCAGAGTCCAGGCAATTGGTATGATTCCTGGAGTCAGGGAATCGCTACATTCATTGATGTGGTTCCTTGGGAGTCCTGAACCCCTTACCTAACATTCTAAATTATTTTGTTTTCCATTGGGCTCAGGTATCTTATAGAATTTTCATTAAGCTTGAAACTGACATGCAATTTTGTGAACAGCATGAGAATTTTGCTTAGATCTGTGCATAGAATTATGAATGTAGCTTATATCTGTGCGTTTAAATCTACATTGCACTTGTTTGGTGGAAGACAAATTAAGAAATGCTTTGCCCATCTTTAAAAGAAGAGATGTGTACACTTTAATGTTGCAAAGGCCTTTCCATGCTGAGGATGAAAGCCAGTCCAGAGATACTAACCCATGGTATGCTTTCACTTAAGTTCTGTTAAGATTCTGGTATCACATTGTCCTTGGTGTAGTTCAGTCTTATGGAACAAAAGTTTACTGCAGAGTTTAAAGCTGGGGAATTATTTTGCGGGGCTGGTACAGAAAGCATCATTCTAGGCCTCCAAAGTAGGTTCTCATGTTAGGAACAGTGAGAAAGTTGTGCTCTCTCTCTCTCCCACTGTGATTTTCATAACTAAAACAGGATTTGATTGAGGTACAACTGGAGGTTAATCTACTAAATACCTTGCCATTGAGAGTACTGCCTGTCAAGTCTCCAGCTTGACCATGGGTCCACCTTACCCATTAGGGCACTTTGGCTTGCAGGTTTAACAGGAGCTGAGTGGGAAGAACTCCTACCCCCAGTGACTGGTTTGCCCTTCTAAGTACTGCCGATGAGCTAGGCTGTTATCAGCTGTGCCCTAGTGTACCTCGGATCCACCTGGCTCAGGAACCAGACTACTGAGATTGCCACAGGGGATTGACTCAGTTCCAACATTCCGTTCTCTCTTTTTGACGGGGTTTTAAATAAAGACCACTTGCGCAAGAAATTTCTTTTAAAAATTCTATATAACAAAATGCTTTCTGATGAGCTTTTTTTTAAAAAAAGGAAAAATATCTGCAGCATCTCTGCTTTGTCCCACAAAGTCATTTCCTCTTCGGTGCATTTCTGGAATTTGGACAACAGAACTTACTACTTTGTGTGCTGAATGGAACAGCTGAAACAGTACCTTTTGAGGCTGTGTGGGCAATTGCGCAATAAGGGATATTGTTTAAAAAGGTGTCGATTGAGCATGCTGAGCTTGACCTTTGAGAACGCTGTTCAGTATTTGCCGCTCCAAATGGCTGCTGTTGTGTTTGGAATCGCTGCAGAAGGCTAGCTGGGCTCAGCTATCCCCTTTGTTGTCAGTTACAAAATAATTGAGTAGGGAGAAGTGCGCAAGTGCAATTGCTCCTCCCCATGTAGCGAATTCAGTAGAACTCAGTATTTTTAAAGAGGAAATTACATCTGATTTACATCAAATGGCATGAAGTGTTTTACATTATTGGTGTCACAAGTTAGTGTTCATGGATATTTTAAATGAAGACAGATGGGTGGAGAACCACAAAATATATCTTTGAAATGTTCTCTTGATGTGAAAGTTGATATGTAAAATGCAAGGATTATTAATACTACGGTATGAAGTCTACAACACTTAGATCTATCACTTTACAACACTGGGATCTGTTTAGCTGCAAGACCACAATGAGAAGGGTTGTCCCTGGCAGAACAACAGACCCGCCACTCAGTAAGACTTGAAATTGAGATATTTAGTCATGTATTTGGCTCCGCCACTGTTAAGTGCTCCAAGATGCCATCCGGCATGAAGGATGCTATATAAATGCAAGTTGTTATTGTGTTTGGTGATACAGTGTATTAGTTGAGTCAATAATTTTACCACATGCAATACTGACCATATTCATTCAGCTCCTTTAAAAGTAGATCTTACTCTTTCACTGGGTTATTTGAAATGATCGTTTTGTTGTGTTTGTTTTCTTTGTCCTGAACTGATTCCTGTGTATAAATAATGCTTTGAATGGAAATATTGTAGTCTTGTTAGATATGAAAAAAAGTTGATTGGATCTTTCCAAATTTCTAACATTCTTTCACAGGTTATTTCCTTTCTGGCAGCTGTACTTCATAAAAGGGGGACCCGTGAGGATATTGAAAATAACATGCCAGAGTTTGTACTGAAGAGTATGAAGAAGGAATCAAGAGCCATTCATGACAAGGTAATTCTTTATAGCCTAAATCTTGTTACAAGTCTCATCTTCCTGGAAATAATGTAATTTTTGCTTCAATAATCCATCAATAGTAATATGTTTGCAACCATTTGCTGAAACCTGTTTATCAACTCTCCACAGCAGGTACATTGAAATATTCCTTAAAAAGTTCCTTTTAGGTATATCACTTGTCCCTATTGGTCAAGGTACAGGGAAATGGGGATATATTGTGTGGTTTTACGTTCATCTGTCTTCATTTACAACATCTATGAACACTAATTTGTGACACCAATAATGTAAAAGCATTTCATGACGTTTGATAGGAATCAGATGTTGTTTCCTCTATTGAAAATGGACCAGTAAGGAGCTTCGATTTTTCTACTTTTAAGTATTATTATGTCATCTTCTAAAAGAAAAAGATGACTTCCAATAACCTATATCACTGCTAATGTTTATCCCATGGAACTCTTCCCTGCTGTAGATCGGGTGGGAATCATTAAGCCCATTTAACATGTCGATTCAACGTGTAGGAATCTCTTACACTATTCCCACTCTAAGACTTAAAGCTCTCTAAACTACTCCAATATGTCCCGTTTCACAGGATAGGAATTTCTAAGCCACTTCACCTTGTCCCTTTCACAGCAGGAGATCTATAAGCTATTCCAGAATGTTCAATCTACAAAATGCTCTAGAGTATTATCTGCAGGTGTGATTGAGTCCTTATTTTAATGGCTAGCATTTTTATTTAATGCCTTAGCATAAGGACACAGATTTGAACTGTAAACTTACCTTCAAACCACCACTCTATTACTTTTACATCTGTGCTTTCTAAAGTAATGGAAGCTGTTACTAGCTATCAAATTATCCATCAACGTGGAAGTCCTGGCCTGATCCAGTATATTTTTTGGTATGACTGTTATATTGGTATTGCCTTACACACCTCAGAAAATATTCTTGAACACTTTGGAGACCCACTTACTTCTTCCTTCCACCCATCCCGAAGAAGATAGTCACAAGTTGGTTATTCAACATCCGACAAGCGCAGGTTTGAGCCCTCACTAGGTGGATAGCAGGTACCAGGAACTATCTGTGAGCTTCCCTGTGGGCAACACAGCTTGGCATGAAATGTGTGAGATCAGTGCCACCATCTTCTGTCCGCAGCTCGGGCACACATTCCTTCCCATTGAGCAATTATCGGAATTATACAATTTATAAAGATAAGACCTATGTAAGTTTTACTATGTTGTATTCCTTATGAGAGTTGTTTTTAATTCAAAACATATATATGTTTGAAATAATTAGAGAATTCATGACTTATTCTACTGTTTCCAGGTTGGCCCATTGCCATCTTTACTATTAAATAGACGCTTAATTATGAGCCTTTCACTTCACATCAAAGAAAAAAGTACAAATTCCTTTTCTTTTATACACCAGTTTTTTTTTATCTTCTTTAGATTTTCCTAATAGTTGCACCTTTGTCTGTATTGTATAACTGGAAGGAAGAGCTGGAAACCTGGGGATATTTTAGAGTCTATATTTTGCATGGCAACAAAAAGGATCATGCTTTCAGAGGCATTCGACGAAAGAAATGCGAGATTGCTTTGACAACCTATGAAACACTCCGTCTCTGCTTGAACGACATCAACAGGTGAAAACAGTTTAATTTATTTAAAATTGGATTATTTTGAAAGGAGTTGATGGCTCTATGGGTTGATGTATGTTAAATGTAGGTTGGCTTGAAATACTCAAGTCTCTTTGAAGGTAGCCATAGTGTTACCTATTTAGCTTAATACTTTGCTAAATAATAATGCATTAACTAATTGGGTTATTGGGAGAGGGAAAGATATTGAGTTTAGTAGTGATTTGTGCAATTTGACTGCAGTGCAGAGTGAGATTTATTTATTTCTTTTAACATTGAGGGACGTGAGTTCAGAATGTTCACAATCCAGCGCCTTGGGACCTCCTCCCAACTTGAAAGGTGCTATACAAATGTAATTTGTTATTGTAGTGCTTTGAACGTTCTCTCAAGTCAAGTCAAATTAATTTCAATGATAAAATATTCCTTAATGATTTCCCACTTCCTTTTTACGTGCTACTGTGTATCTCTTCACTCGAGTACAGGCCGGGATGGCCTATGCACTTCTTTCAGTGCCACCATTGCTTGTGGGTGTTGTAATAGTTGTTATTAGGTTATATCAGTGCCCATCTAATTAAGTACTGTCTAAACTCATGCAGTGAAGTGAGGTATGTTTGAATGACAGGTCAGTCCAACAATGCCACAAGTCACAACTATCTGTCAGACTTCAAGGGCGTGTGTGAGCTATTGAACTACTTTCACTTTTCTATTAAATGAGTTCGTGTGTTTTTTTCTTAACCAATTCATATTGAATTTTAAACTACTACCTTTTTCTTTGGATGCAAATTATCAACTATTATTGATTTTGTAACAATTTCACTGTAACATTACAGAGTGTACATGCAATCCCTTTCCCCCTCTCCTTCCTCTGAAACAAAAGCAAACCAAATAAATGTAGTGAGTCTGACAGTGCAGTATATATTCTGTTAAATGTAGTTGTTTGTTTTGAATACAGTAGGAAATTATTGGTAAAATACTCTAGTCCATAAAGGGATTTTAAATAAAACTATTCATTTATTTCCATGACTCTTGATTCCCTCCTCCCTGTTTCTTTATTTTTCTTCCTCTCTTTAGGTTCACCCATATAATCTAGCATAGTCTAAAGGAGTGGGCACTCTGACATGGCACAACATGGCTAATGGCTTTCTGTCACCACATGAGAACCTGCATAAGAGTGGTGTATGGCAGGTCCCCTTGGCATTTGTGTCAATGCGTTGAAATAATAATAATAATAATCCTTGCATTTGATATATCGCTTTTCACGTCTTCTAGGTGTCTCAAAGCACTTCACAGAATATACTGTAAAGTGAAGTGACTGTATATTTGTGGGCTAACGTGGCAGCTAATTCTGCACGGCAGACCTGAGTTTACTTACTGTAAAGTCTTGTTACCTTACATTCATTTTAAATCAGTCAATATTTGTCGAGGTCCTTTTTAATTTCAGAAATGTAAATTAGTGGCATATCCAGAGTGACATAAAGACTGTCCCAAAGAGATGTCACCGGTATGAAGTAAAGAAACAGGGAACAGAGAATTGGGAGCACAGAGATGGGCGCCAAAGTGAACTGGTATATTTGCCTTATTTAGAACATTAAATGTTTTGCTTTAGCAGAACTTAATAGCTTTTAGTAATAGCACCTTGAGAGTCTTGAAGATGGTACCACTGAAAGATGCCATTTTTTCAACACAATTTACTGTTTTGACTTTCTTCAATCAAGCCAGAATTATTTTTTCCAGCAGCCACTAATATTTTGTTCCTAGCGTTTGGGGAATCCTTCACTAGTAGTAATTTACTGAACAGTATACCCATTGTGCTGCAGCAAGAAAGGTCATGAAAGCCTTAAGGATTACAGTATTATGATGTGTGATTCACTTTCCATTTCCTGATCAGCATCGAGTGGTCTGCAGTGTTTGTAGATGAAGCCCATAAGATAAAGAATCCTAAAGCTCAAATCACACAGGCAATGAAGGCACTGAAATGCAGGGTTCGAATCGGGCTAACTGGTACAATTTTACAGAACAACGTGGAGGAACTTTGGTGTGTTATGGACTGGTAAGCAGTGGTTATACTTGTTTTAAAAATGCATCATTTCTGACTAAATGTTTGAAATGTGTAAGTGAAGCCTCGTGTTGAATTTTTGCTGAATACTAACTAGAGGAGATCATGATTTTAGTCCCATCTTTTGGTTAATAAATCGCATAGTATTGGGTAGTGTAGCAAATTTGCACAACCAGGAGCAACTATTTCCACTGGCGGGTGGGTCGGTAACCCGAGGATACTGATTTAAAATAGTTGTTAAAAGAAACAGAGGGGAGGAGAAATGTTTTCACACAGCGAGTTGTTCGGATCTGGAATGCATTACCTGAAAGGGTGGTGGAAGCCGATTCGATAACAACTTTTAAGAGAGAAGTGGATAATTATTTGGGGAGGACAAGTTTGCAAGGCTTGGGGAGAGCGCGGAGGAATGGGATTGATTTGGACAGCTCTTTTCAAAGAGCAGGCACAGACATGATGGGCCGAATGGCCTCCTTTTGTGCTGTATAATTCTATGATTCTAACTGTAACCAGGAGAAATTATCTACTCATTTGATTGTTATGTTTACAGAAGCACTGGGTGGGGGAGCGGGGGAGTGGTATTTGGTTGAGTAAGGGCACATCTTAGTGATATCTGTTACTGTATTTTCGAATCACCTATTCCTCTCAGAGATCGTTTATGCATATTCCAAAAAAATTTAATTGGCAACGGATTGTTGAACTTCTGTCTACAAGGTACAGTTAAGGTAAGGACACATGGAATGAAAAACTTAACAAATTCTCAAACCTGGTCCTTCCACAGTCCATGCAAAATGATCACAAACTTCATCTCACCAAGGCTATCTCCTCGGGAAAATTATCAATAAATCCTGACCCCCACGTCAGTCGAGCAAAACTTCCGCAATATTCTGCCAACCCCACCATTCAAACCCATCTTTTTTTGCAGATTCTCTTTCGTTCCGCTCTCTTCCTCTGCCCCGCCCCTCCTATCCCCTGCCCCCCCGCACATCCCCCATCCCCTTTCCCCCCCACTTCAGTCACATCCCCTAACTTACCTCCCTCCCTCCACCACGCCCATCCAAATCTTAAAATCATGCCTTAAGAACTACTTCTTTGCCCGCGTCTAATTTCACTTCCCCCTCTCCTCTTGTACTAATAACAATAATACTGACATTCGATATAGCACCTTTCACGTCAGGAGGATGTTTCAAAGAGTTTCACGGGATATATTGTAAAGTGGGGTAACTGTACCTTGGGATGAACCATTGTAAAGGACTCCATGACGTTGTCCTATGTGAAGGATGCTATATAAATCCTAATTATTGTTACTGCTGTAGGGTGACATTATTTCTTTGAAGAATGAGTATTCAGGTTCTTGGCACTTTTGGAACTTTCTCAGAAGGTTACAGAATCTGCAAGAAATAAAGTTGTTCAAAGGTCATCCAAAAAAATGCAGCAATTTAATGAAGTATGACTTTAAAATGATTGCATGGTAAGATCTGAAAACAAAATCAGAGGAAATGAAAGCAAAATAATGTCAAACCACATCAGTAAGACCTTTGACAATATGTACACTCAGTGGAACAAATACTTTAGATCAGCAGAATTCACAGATAAAAAATAATTTCAGGGATTGATGGCACCATCTTAATGTCTTGATTCAGTGGTTTAAACCTACACCTGTGTATCATTCTTCACCAAATTTATTGTTTTATGTTTGTGTGATGTGCAACTTTTTCATCAGCATTTGTTTTAATAATACCATTTGTTTTAACTAATAGATTCCTAGAGAGCTGAGCTACATTTTTATTGGTGCTCATGTCATTTGCATTACTACAGTCAATGGAAGTACAAACATCTTGAATTCTTGATAAGGCTGCGTGCAAGGGAGATGAAATCTAAAATTGTTTACAGTCGTAAAAAATTGCCCAAATAAAAGGCAAAAAAAGTGTAAACATAAGAATATATAGTTTACTGACACTTAAAAGAATACAGCAAATAATCTAATCAAAACATTTGAGCATTACGGATGTTTAGAAAATACACAAATTGTATTATGCCTATTTTGTGCTGACGTGTGCATATAAATTTACAAATTATAACTTGGTGTGTTGATTTTTTTTTACACAATCACTGTGATCAAGATAATGCAATAACTTGGAATCCTTGATATTTGCAGGGCAGTAACAGGATGCCTAGGCAACAGAAGCCGTTTTAAGGAAGATTTTGGTAATCCAATTGAGTTTGGTCAGAGGCACACAGCAACGAAAAGAGAGCTGGCTATGGGAAGAAAGGCCATGCGAAAGTTGGCAAAACAAATGTCCTATTGGTTTTTGAGACGCACAAAGGCTATTATCAGTGACCAGCTACCAAAGAAAGATGACCGGGTGAGAATGAAGCTCTATTTGCTGCTGTTTATTGCAGCCAGCAAATTCTGTTTGATAACCAGGAGGTCAGTTGTCTTGTTATAAGTACCCATAGGAAGAGACTCTCAGACAATCTTATTTCCCAGCTTTGTGTAGAGCTGGTGACCTTGAATAGCTATTTATATAAATGTCCACTGAAGTCACATAAGTTATAATATATATTCATAGTTATTATACATTACTATGCAGTTGTAGATTTAAAACTTTAGCAAATCATCTTGTTTTGCGAGATGCTATCCTGCGTGAAGGGCACTGTATAAATACAAGTTGTTGTCAAGTATAATCTAGCCTAAATTTGGTTATAAAAAAGTAAGCTAATATCAGCTGTTGAAAATAGCTAAGATGGGCTAGTAGGTAATGCTGTTGAGTAGTTTAACGGGTCACCTATGAGGAAAATGCACTGAATTCTCAGCCTGTTTTCAGGTGGTATACTGCTCTCTAACAGAGTTTCAGAAGATGGTATATCAGGCAGTGCTGCAGACTGAGGACATGATGTTGGTGCTGCGTGGCTGGGATCCATGCGACTGCAACAGTGGCCGAAAAAGGAAAAGCTGCTGTTACAAGGTCAGCCACAGAATGTTAAGAGATGTTCTTGTTACAGATTCGCTTGAGATTAGATACCATGTTAGCACAATAAATATAAGTATCACTTGCATGCATTTCTTTCTAAAGCCACGGGGTGAGATTCATGATGTTCCATAGTGCATTTCTTGTGATAATTATCACATGAAATGTGAATGTGGAGAGCTGCAAATTAATGCCACCTTCCACTCACACACTTACCTTTCTTCAGTGACCTGTTTCCACAATGATGCTGGACATTGCGAATGCCATCTTGCATGTGGTCTGCTGTCCCAAAGCCAAATAATAGAGGAAAACAACTTAATTCAGCTGGTTTCCTGTTCTGTACTGAAATATTGAGGATTTGAGAGAAACTTGGCTGTATCTTTGTGCTGAAACTGGGAGGAGGGAGTGAAGAAAAAGAGGATGATTTCTCTGTTAAAGTATCTTAGCCACAACCTTAGAACAGCAAACCATCATTGTCTAGCATCACATAAAGAAAATACTATCCAGCTACTTCTGGAAATTAAGGATGTGTGGACTTCAGGTGAGAACAGGTTCAAGCTTTGCAATGATTTCCCCCCCCCCCTTCCACTCGATTCACACACGAGAAACGGACCCTTGGGTGCTGACATTCATGGAACCACATGTACAGTGCATATCAGTGGCTTCAGAGGAGTGAGTGAAAAGATGGAGAATATTGGCATGTTAAACATTACATTTTTATTTTTCAGCAAAATCAATATGGCAATACAGTCCGACAAATCTATTTTAGTTATTTGGCCTTGTTGCGGAAGGTATCGAATCATGTAGCATTGCTGCAGCCTGATGATAGCACAAGTAAGATGCAGGTAATCATTTGAATTTTTTTATGGAATAGCAAATCTCTATTTGTAAAATATTGTTGGGAGCTCAGTCTTCTGAGTTCAATTCCTCATGGGTCTTCTCAGTTCTTCATATATGTAGTTGTGCTAAAATGACTTTAAGTGAGTAATTTCATAAATAAATAACACTTGTGTTTGATATTCCACGTTTCACATCAGAAGAACGTCTCAAACTACTTCACAGGATTCATTGTAAAGTGAATTGACTGTACTTTTATTAGTGAACTTGACACAAAAACAGTAAGTAATGTTATTGTAGTATTAAAGGCTCAATTCCCAAAGCTTTTTGAGGACCAACTAAATGTAGTAATCTGCAAAGTGACTTAATCATTGTTGATTTGTAAAACGGTGCAGAATCATTCAATGCTTTTGCAAACAATTGCAGAATGTCATTTCAGTAGATCTCCAATAAACAGCTTTAGTGAACTGGGGCCATAGGACCAGTCTAAACAGACCTATGTAAAAGCTTTGGTTTATCTCTAGTGAATGTTTTGGCTAGATAAGCAGTTTCTTAGTTTTGTTTGGCAAATAGCAACTTTGAGCTGGGGACTTTGATAATTTAGTACCCATTAGCAAATACAAGTGACAAGTATGGCATGCATACTTGCCATATTACATTTTCACTTTCAATTTTTAGGAATCCATAATCTGATATAATTATTTCTCAGTTGGTTTTACACTAAAACCCTGGATAACTGGACCAATGGAGGGAAGAACCATCTCGTCTGGCTAAGTGTAATTACAATGCTGGCACTGGCCTTCACAGGCTTTTCTCGGCGGCGGCTTTGTTCAGAGCAAAAAAAAATGCCGGTACTGGCATTGAAATTGTTTGAATCCAGCGAGCAAGAGATAGAGAATAAGCTCATGGGTCTCAAACTGAGATGAAGGCCGGCAAGGACAGTGAGGCGGGGGCGAGAGCTAGAAGAGTGGATTGGCAGGAGTCTACACGTGCGTGGGCATGCAAATTTTTTTTAAAAAAAATCCTATCCAGGCCTGGCCCGGCTAATTACGAATTCCAGATAGACGGAGTCCAGTAAGCCAGAGGTTACTATATTTTCTAAAATCACTGAAACTGCAGCTTAGTGTAATTCCAAACTGGTTTAATTTTATTGGACTTGATTTTGGAAATAGCTTTGGAGTATGGTTTATGTAGTCTGGCTGGGCAGCAGTTATGCATTTTGACTCTGAGACCATGCAGTTTCACTTTGATGTGTCAGGTATTCAGAAACTTTTAACTTAAGAAGCTGTTCTGTGGGGAAAAGACTAAACGAAGTTAGAAGGTTACAGTGCAACTGTTCAAATATAGTGTTTTGAAGATTGAGATCAAAGAGATTTCCAAGTAACTTGGGATTTTATGTGCTCCTTGCATTGATGGTTTCTACCAACAGAATATGTAATAAAGAATGCATATTTTTCCCTTTTTTGTTTTTTAAAATAAATTGTAAACAGTAGAAAGATTGATATAAACTAATCACATTCATTAGTTGAATACTGCATTTAATTATTTAATATATTGATGTTCCAGTGCAGTGAAACTCAGGGAGTTAAGGCAATACTTTCCATTATGATTGTGTAAACTGATATGTAATTATCCTTACATTTGGTATAGTGCCTTTCACGTCGGAAAGACCTCTCAAAGCACTTCTCAGGTTATATTGTAAAGTGGAGTAACTGTTAATTTGCACAAAGCAATATCGCTCAAACAGCCATGAAATGAATGACCAATTTTATTTGGGGGATTGTTAGCCAGGATATCGAAAGAAATTCCCTCTCTTTCTGAATAGTACCCAAGGGATCTTTAACCTCCTCCTGAGCAGGCAGACAAGACCTCTGTTTAATGTCTCATCTGAAGGATAGCAGTTCCAACAATGCCATACCCCCAGCCTGCATTGGAGTGTCAGCCTAGACTATAAGTGGGGCTTCAACCCACAGAGAAAAAGAATGCTACCAGCTGAGCCAGACTGATGCACAATAAGTTTTTCTCCCGCACCCCCGCTCCCCACATGATCTAGATTCTAATGGATCACTGATATGATGGAGGTTCATTTGTTTGCCTTTCATAATTAGTGAAATTTCTCAGAGAACTTGCTTGTGATAATGCCTTTGGCAATCCTTCCACTCCACCCCCTCGCTTTTACCTCTCTTAATTGCAACCTTCAGCTGATGTGAAAGACACTATATAAATGTTGGGATGGTGGTTGGTACCTCTTGAGGAGATTGAATAGGTTGGGTTAAATCCACGACAGAATTGATTGTATCTGGTCTACAAAAGGAGTAGGCTTGATGTGGCCTGTAGAAGCTTTCTGTTGATCCATAATCCATTCTAATGTTATGAATCTTTTGCTCTTTCAATACATAGAGTGAAACAGCATTTGATTAGGGGGTGGAGTACAAATTAATGTTTTTTAATCTCTCTTAAGGCATCTACTGTCAAAAGAGTCTGTGAACAAGTATTTCACAAATTCCCGGAGTTTGTTCAGCAGAGCAAACAAGCTGCTTTTGAGACCATTTCTGATCCTAAGTACAGTGGGAAAATGAAGGTGAGTTATCAGAACAAATGTTACATAACTTATCCCAATGTTGTAATGTAGCAAATATTGTTTTCTGACAAAGTGGGGACACTATAAAATGGTATTCACAATTAAATTCAATATTATGTATTTAAATTACTATAATCTTATGCCGTACTTTGTATAACATGCATTCAAATGCATTAGGATAATCATATGTGAAAATTATTTCTCAATGTTGCATTCAAAGTCCCAACAGTAGGCGATAGCCTTCAACAAATTAAATAAGCGGATAGAAGAAGCAGGCAGATAGACTTTGTGGTCTATTTTACAAGTTGTGTAATCCACATTTATTATATGAGTTGTGTAAACGTATTTACAGAGAGAACTACAGGTGCTCCTAATTATCGAATTAATGATGGGGAAAGCGGATTCTATAATCCTTAAGAATTGTGTTTACACATTAATTTGCACTAGTCGTATTTGTGACCTCCTAACTCGTAAACGGTGAACGGCTGCTTTTCTGACTGGAGGCGTACTGTGTACTGTGGCGTCCCCCAGGGATCGGTATTAGGACCACTGTTCTTCTTAACATACATAAACGATCTGGACTTGGGTATAGCAAGCACCATTTCCAAGTTTGGGGATGACACAAAGTTAGGTAGTGTGGTAAACAGCGAAAAGGATTGGAGCCAATTGCAGGAAGACATAGACAGAATGGTAAAATGGGCAGACACATGGCAGATGAGTTTCAATATGGAGAAATGCGAGGTAATGCATTTTGGTAGAAAGAATGAGGGGAGGCAATATAGGCTGGTAATACAATCTTAAGGGGGGTGAAAGAACAGATAGACCTGGGAATTCTTGAATTGAATCCTTGAAGGTGTCAGGACAGGTAGATAAAGCTGTAAAAAAGGCATATGGGATACTAGGCTTTATAAATAGGGGCATAGAGTACAAGAGTCAGGAGGTTATGATTAACTTATATAAAACACTGGTTAGGCCTCAGTTGGAATACTGCGCCCAGTTCTGGGCACCACACTATAGGAAGGATGTTAAGGCATTGGAAAGGATGCAGAGGAGATTTACGAGGATGGTACCAGGAATGAGGGACCTTGATTATGAGGAAAGGCTAGAGAGGCTGGGATTATTCTCATTGGAGCAGAGAAGGTTACGAGGAGACCTAATAGAAGTCTTCAAAATCATGAGGGGATTTGATAGGTTAGAAAGGGAAAAACTGTTTCCACTGGTGAGTGTGTCGGTGACTCGAGGTCACAGATTCCAAATAGTCTCTAAAAGAAGCAGAGGGGAGGTGAGAATTTTTTTCACGCAATGAGTTGTTCGAATCTGGAACGCATTGCCTGAAAGGGTGGTCGAGGCTGATTCGATAACTACTTTTAAAAACCCTGCCCCTCCTCAAAACTGCTGTTATTACCCCCCTCAAAAAACCTTCCCTAGATTCCTCAAACCCCAGCCACTACCACCCTACTTCTAACCTGCCCTTCTTCGCAAAGATCCTAGAACGCATTGTTGCCAATCAACTCCGCGCACACCTTTCCTCCCACTCCCTCTTCGAACCCCTCCAGTCCGGTTTCCGCCCTGACCACAGTACAGAGACTGCGTTTGTGAAAGTCACAAATGACATCCTCTTTATCTGTGACCAGGGCTCCCTCTGCCTCCTCGTCCTCCTGGACCTCTCCACCGCTTTCGACACAGTCGATCATGTCATCCTCCTCCACCACCTTTCCTCCGTCAACCACCTCAGTGGGACCGCACTCGCCCGGTTCAAGACCTACCTCTCGAACCGCCCGCTGTACATCTGCATAAACAGCTTTTCCTCCCGCTCTCACCTGGTTACCTGTGGGGTACCCCAAGGATCCATCCTTGGCCCCCTCCTCTTTCTGATCTATATGCTCCCTCTTGGGGATACCATCCGCAGACATGGGGTACACTTCCACATGTACGAGGATGACGCCCAACTCTATTTTTCTACCTCACTTTGCGACCCCCAGTCCCCTGATGTTCTGTCAGCCTGCCTGTCAGACCTCAGGAGCTGGATGAGCGCAAATTTCCTTCAGCTGAACTTTGACAAGACGGAAGCCATACTCTTTGGCTCTCATCAACATCTAAAATCACATGGTTCTCACCTTCTCCACCTACCCGACCTCCCCCTAAAACTCTCTGAACCCATACGCAACCTAGGCATCAGGTTCGACCCCAAATTATCCTTCCTCCCCCACATTCGGTCCCTCACCAGCACCGCTTTCTTCCACCTGCAACGCATCGCCCGTCTCCACCAATACCTGACTCCAAAAGCCGCTGAAACCCTGGTCCATGCCTTTGTCATCTCTCGGCTGGACTCTTCAAATGTACTCCTTGCCGGTCTCCCCTCCACTACCGTTCATAAAATCCAGGTCATACAAAACTCTGCCGCCCGCATTCCTGCCCGCACCAAACTCCGCTCCCCGATTACCCAGTCCTTGCCAGACTGCACGGGCTGCCTGAACCAGAAAGGATCAACTTCAAGATCCTCAAGATGTCTTCAAATCCCTCCACTCCTCTGCACCCCCTACCTCTCTGACCTCTCTCCTCACAACAGTGCCTGTTGCCTTCGCTCCACCGGGTCTGCCCTCCTCCTTGTCCCCCGAGTCCTCCGCTCCACCATCGGCGGCCGTGTCTTCAGCCACTTCGCTCCAAGGCTCTGGAACTCCCTTCCTCACTCCTTCGCCTCGCCCCCTCTCTTCCCACTTTCAAGTCTCAGCTGAAGACCTTTCTTTTCGACCGCGCCTTTGGTCACCATCCTCCCCCTGGCTCGGCCCCGGGATCCGTTACTGTGACGCGCTCTGAGACTCCGTCTGGCGTGGAGGGCGCTATATAAATCCAAATTGTTATTGTTGTTGACTGCATACTCTTGATCCGTCGACTCATGCGCAAAAGAACTTAATTTCCTGCTAGTCAGTGCGATTCCAGTAAGGCACTTGCCAATAAGTATTGCAATAATATTGCAGGAAATGTCTTGACTAGTCAACTCATGCACTTGCATTTACCGGTTGCATTGAATTACGCATGTACAGTATGGGTTATTGATTAAATCAAATTCTGTATGACTAATACAGGTTCAGCTACAACTTGGACTTCACATAAGTCATATTAAATGTTAATAATAATCCTTGCATTTGATATAATAATAATAATAATCCTTGCATTTGATATAGCGCTTTTCACGTCTTCAAGCCATCTCAAAGCGCTTCACAGAATATACTGTGAAGTGAATTGACTGTATATTTGTGGGTGAAATGGTCCCGACTGATACAACTTATGTGAGTTTTACTGTAAATCAAATTTTTGCCAGGATGAGTTCATCCTCCTGTACACTTCTAAGAGTTCCAAATTCCCTACTGCTAAGAAACAAGTATCTCATTTATAATGTAACTGGAGCATACCAGAAAATGAATGGTAGACTCTTAAGGTGACTTGTGTAGCTCTTAGGTCAAAAGATTGGCTTTGTGGCCTTTTATTTATATAATGGTGCATTATGATTATACTACAACCATTGTCTTCAGTTGCTCACCTCCCCTCTCCACTGTACTCCAGACCTCAGCTCTGCATTATAAGGGTCTGCAAAGTTATCTGAAAGTTATATCTCGATAAAGATGATAACATCATAATCGTTAATCCTTCAGTGTGAATGTCATCACACATCAACAAGGCAGATCATATTGACAATCAGCAGTGGCACAGACACAAAGCCAAAAATGAAAACATCACCCACTAACAATGTGCATTGAATAACAGCTATCCTGGAGTAAAGTCAAAGCAGTAATATAATCTTGTGGTCAGGTAATAGGTGTTCTTGCTTGGCTTTGGTGATTCATGACATCCACTGAACCCATGATTACATTACTTCCCTGTGATCTATTCCAGCTATTTGTTATTGTCCATTTCACACAAAAAAAAAGTTCAGACTATTCATTGACAGTTGTCTGTGCCACTTTCTTCTAAAGATTTAGAAGTCAAAATTGCCATTATTTTTGTGCCTGGAGCTGGCTGATCTCCAGCTTCTGCTCTCGTGTTTTTTTGATAATTGGTGTGTTCACTGTAATAACTGCAGTGGTCTGTATTCTTCGAGATTTTTTATTAACTATTTGAGGTGCATTAACCTTTTCACAAAAATGGATCAGAATAATCAGCTTTCGAAAAAAAAATTCAAAACTTATTTATATTTTGTCAAAAAATTGAACAGTAGCTTGAAAATTGATAATTTAATTCTTGAGAATTAGACTTTTCATTGCTGCAATATTTTACAGCTACAATGGTGTGTGTTTTTTTTCAGATCCTTTGCCCATATATGCAAACTGACAATGATATTTAGAATGTACTTTACTTGTACATTTGAGGTACTTGGATCTTGACCATAGTGTTGACCTTATGTGGCTATTAATGTGTGAGACTAGGCAGCGAACGTTGGAAATCTTAATAAAAAAAATTGCTACTCAGCTTTATCTTTCCTTTACCTCAACCCTCCAGTAGGGCTTCCTTCCTGGAAGACTATGAGAATCAAGAATCCTATCCTAGGAATACTACACCCATTTGTGGTATTTCTCTGCCCTTCCCTGACTGCCAGCTTGACTGAAATTAACTAATAATTAGCAGACAAGTGATAAAACCTAGGCGCTTCATGGCTTTTACAACTTTGTTCTAGGCCTACAATTTCTTCTCTGATGCATTACAAGAGCGTCTGGATTGAGGTTTAGCTGGAGAAATAATTTTCTGTAACTCATCACTAGTGAGTAATGAGTGTTTTTTGGATGAATATTGGGATTTATTTTGGAACATCAAAAATAAAACAGATGCTGAACTAATAAAGCAGTTAATTCACTCTTGAATGTAATAAGTGATAAACCAGAGAGCCATAAATGCACAGATTATTATTATTATTACCAATTCCTACCAAATTAAATACAGTGGAAGCTGCTTAAGGCGGACACATAGGGCTGTTTAGTCCATCTTAAATGGCATCCGAGGTTATCTGAAGTTCTTACCTCCAGTAGAGAGGATGAGCGGCGGCACTTCTCCCTCCAATTCCAGTTCCCATTGGACAGGAAGAGCACCAATTAGCGGCGGATCCAAGATGATTGTCAGCCTGGAGCTGGATGGTCACTCCACTCATTCCCGGCTCTTGCTGTCAATCAATCGTGATTTGACTGCTCCCATTCCATTCCCTTCCTTGTTTCTTCCACATTTCTCCGCCCCTCACTGATTGACACACCACTTCTGAATGGCTGGAGTCCGCTGTCGATCGCAATTTATCTCCTCCTATCTCCATCTTGGAGTCGCTTTTGACAAAGAGCGAGCAGACATAGTGCCGACCAGCACAGCATTTTGTACAGATTAACCGGCATATTTAAAACGGATCAGAATACAAATGAATTGGGGCCGGGCGTTATGTCTGATTTACCCGGTATCCGGAGTTAACTGGTGTCTGGCAAAGCACCTTTAACTGGGTCACTTTTTTGTGAAACTCAGTCTATAGAAAACCTAATGTCGTCATTCTGGAATGTTCCTGCACTACATTGAAAATCTGGTTGTATGCATGGCACACAAGGTGAAATGGTTTAAGGAGTTACACATGAATTGGATTTGTGCGTGTGTGTCAGAGTGAGAGAGAGTAGATCTTGCACAGTGGGGTGCTATAGCGCCAGCATAATTTGATTAAATAATTTTTTTAGTTAGGACTGTGGTCATTTGTATTTTACATGATGTTAATTAACTGTACTGCTTGTTTATCTGCAATCAGTGTGGATAACCTTTACTCTGGTATATCAATAAAGCAACTGCTTCATTAGTACAGTATCTGGCTTGTTTTTGATGTTCCAAAATAAATCTGGATTTTCAACAAATTTACCAGTTTCGCTTAGGTGTCAAACTCCCCCACCTCCAAATACTCTCATTTTGTGAAACAATAACATACCCAGATTTTGTTTGGAAGATAAAACCTGACTTCACTGGTCCTTGTTAGTGACCCTCAAAATGGACACCTGTGGATGACATCACCAGAGTAAAGGTGAAGGCATATCACAAAGTAAACGTTTTAAATCATGCCATAGTATCCTTCTGAAATCGACTGGTACTTTTATTGTTCATTTTGCATGTCAAAATGTATACAACGTAACCCTAAATTTTCGAGTAGTAACTTTGAACCGGCAGAAAAAAAATGTCTACATTGATTCCAACCTGGCTCATTTAAAAAGACTTGCAAGCATCGAAATGCAACATTAGCAGTTGTAATGTTTTATTACTGACTGAATGAAAGCAATGGACATGGTGCAGAAAATTCCACATTTCCCCTTGGTGCATTTCATCTTCGGCGTAGTCCGTTCAGACTGCTACTGCCAGATGTGGACATGCTTCCCTTGAAAATAACAGTCCAGCCATTGTACACAAAACCCCAGTTATTTGCTTCCCAAATGGTGGAATATCTTGAGAGTCAAATTATTGGCTGGTCCACATCTGTACACATTCTGGGAAGCCATGGCCTACTGTAAACAGAGCAACACAAGAGCACCCCCTTGGGTATCTGACTGATTATTTAGAGAAGAGAGTTCCAAGAAGACATTGAGTAAAGTCCTTGCTTTAGAAATTTTCAGATAAGAGTAGCTCTGTGCAGACCCATTCTACAAGCTTTTATATATTATTTTCCCATTGAATTACATTATTGAACCCCTGATATGTTCTCTAAATCCACATTGAAATGTGCAGTCTCGTCTTAAAATAGTGTTATTTTACCTTTTATTATACTAATGTATCCCATTTCCTCAGAATGTGTTTATATGTAAATATTAATACTACATTTGTTAAAATATGGTGAATAATATTTTTTTAAAGGTTGATCAAATGTGTCAGCTTTATTTGAGTAAATTGTAGCCATAGCCCTAATTTTTATTTACAACTGAAGGGCATATACTTTATTACACAGTTTTCACTGCTTGAAAACAGATTTTACAGCGATGCACTTGAACCCAGATTTAATTCAGTTTATGGTGTAGGCTGAGAATTGTTAATTAAAATCTTTTATATATTAGTAAAATGTTAAAAGTTTCAAATACTTTGTATGAGGGTGAAATGGTGACGGGAAAATATGAGTTCCTGGGGAGAATTTCCACTTGTGGTTTAGATTTACTCTATTTATGCTACATTTTAGACTGCACAGAATTTAGCAAATTGATGAATTCAGCCTCAACTTTCAAGTTGTTTCTCTATGTTTCTTAACATAAACTTACAAAATTTAGGCTGTGTTTAAGAATTTGGCAAATTCTTGACTCTTCTGAAATTCTACACAAGTTGAGTTAATATAAACCCAAGTGGAATTTCTCCCCACACAAGTGAAGGCACAATTTGGANTTTTTGCTTTTGAAAATTTTGCATGGAAGGCGAAGGAATGCATCAGCTATCCTACTACAACAACAGCAACAACTTATATACATTTATATAGTGCCATTCATATGGAGCAGTGTTTTGGGGCTTTCTTTCATCCTAGTACTGTTTGAGTAGAATGAAGCCAAATTTCAACTTATTTATTGGGGGTGGAGGGACATGTATTCAATTATCTTACGGTTTGTTTCTAGTAAAACCCATAAATATTGTGTACATGATGATTTTTCTTCTAAATGAGGTTTAGCAAAAGTGGGATTTAAGAAAAAAAATATAAAATTCAAATTGAGTTTGAAAGACGCAGGGCATAGTTGAATAACCCCAAAATGGTACTGACCTAGTGATGCACAGAACTAATGGCTCAGTGGAAACATTTTTTCTTCATTGCCACACACTGATATAGATTAAACCATTTTTTTATTATCTGGTGCAGGGCCAACCATCTCATTAGTTTTCCGAACCCGAGTGTCAACCTCAGGAGGACAGCACTGTATTCTAAGGGCTGATATTTGGATAGGAGTGTGAGGCCTTTGTTACTTACACAAAAGGGCAAGAGTGAGGAACGTGAAGAAACATCTCACTTGCACCACCTGGTCAATAATAATAATAATAATAATCCTTGCATTTGATATAGCACTTTTCATGTCAGGAGGACATCCCAAAGCGCTTCACAGAACACACTGTAAAGTGAATTGACTGTATATTTGTGGGCGAACGCGGCAGCCAATTGCGCACAGCAATGTCCCACAAACAGTCGTAGAATGAAAATGACCAATTTATTATTGTTTTTGGTTTTGGAGGGATTATTATTAGGCGTGTGGAGTAAGGAAACTTGCCCAAGGTTTCGCCCTGCCTGGAATTGAACTCGGGTCTCTCACTTGCAAAGCGAGTGCTCTAACCACTGAGCTACAGGACTCCACAAATGCCAATATGCTGTGCTGTACTGGATTCCTTTTAAAATAAGATTGCCGCTTATAGACCTGCAAGGCATTATGGAATATACATGAATGGTATTGGTGTGGTGGGAAATAGGATTGTCCAGTGTATGTAATATAATCCTTATGTTTGATGTACTTATCATATCAAAAGTTTGAAAAATGTTTTTAAAGTTGGCTAGGACACAGTGAAACTCTTTTCTCTTTAAGAATAAGGCCATGGTGTCTTTAACATCCACCTGAACAGCATTCAGCTTTAAGGTCTTATCTGAACTTCCATCAATGCAGCAATCCCCAGCAAACATAAACATTTCTTCATATTTCGATTTTATCAATAAAGTGAAAATGTGTTGGTTGGCAGTAAATGTATCTTTCAATAGCACCAATCAACACTCTGGAATTTTCTATTACCACAATTTTCTATTGGTCCTGCCCATGAGTCCTAACATGGGGCTTGAACATTCTGACTCAGAGGCAAGAGTGCTACCAAATGACCCAGGCTGACTATCAATTTCACCTCACTGTCCATTACCAGCATCAATTGACCAGCCAGAATTTGCCAATTGAGACATTAGTTAGGATAGAGTAATTACAAAAAAATACAAAATCATGGTATCCTTTAGATAAAACAGCATTGCTGCAGCCATCTTTGTAAGCAAACATTTTCACCAAATGTACACTGCTACAGATAACCATCAGCTGATGTATATACAGTATTTGTTTTATGTAAGCATGTTTTTTTGCAAACTCTCAGCTGAATCACTAATCACTAAGAGCGAAAAAAAACTCAAGAGGTATGAGTGATCCTAACCATATTCGGGTACTTCTTAGCAGCTGACTTTAGCAGACCATTTGTTCATTTAGATTTGCACACATTTTCTAAGGGAGCAAACTCCAAGCGAATACAAAAATTTCCTTCTTTTGTAGAGCTCCATTAACAGCTATTGCCATCTACTACTGGGACCAACCCATTTTCCAGCTGTTGGCAAGTGGGATCCAACAAGAAAAGGAGGTGGAAATGGAATTGTAAACAATAAGCCACATTTAACATCCATGTAATGTTGTTTCCTTTGTGCTCACCTGCCAAAAAAAATGAGAACGTTATAGTGCATTAGCACGACAGTCTTTTGGATAGAATCCAAACTGAAACTAGTCCGAAGAACATTTTGAAGTTTGAACTTTAGCCCAAGGCTTTGGGTCTAGACAAGAATCTTTTATTATTTGTTTTTAACTCTGTGCATGATGTATTGATTGCCAAAGCCACATTTATTTTGTTTAGATTAGATATTTCTTTACTTCATTTAATGAATTATTTTTTTAATTACTTTGTTCTATTGTATTCTTCCTCTCCCTTGTTATACAGTATGGTAGTTTTATGCAGAATGGTGCAGTGTCTGTTCTGAACAATATGCTGAAAAATCATTGTCTATGCTTTCAGGTACTCCAGCTGCTTTTGGAGCACTTTAGAAGAAATCATGACAAAGTCCTTCTTTTCTCTCTCTCCACAAAGGTGAGCAATTAGGATTTGGTACTTTAATTGAGTTCATCTGCTGGACAGGTAAAAGTGGTGTTCAAATGCCCCAAGCTCTCGCCCAGTAATTTATTTTACTTTTGTAACCACTTTGTCAAAGCAAAAGATACAATCTCTTTACAGTGCAATGTAATGCAATCAAGATTACTGGTATTGTTGATATAAACAATCAATGAATGGATAATTAGCAAAAAGATTTTTAATTTATGTAACACAGGAAAATTAAAAATCTGGAATAAAAGTAGTAAAAGCTAGATGTTAGTCTATCTTTCCCTTTCAGAACTAATTGACTTCAGTGAAATTCATCTGGATTTTTAAAAAAATGTAATTATGCTCTTCTGTTAGTCCAGTGAGTTTAGCTCCTACCTGGGGTCCACTGGGACATACAGAGCATAAGGTTACAGGTTCAAATCTGTCTCTGGTGAGTTAGTAGATCTCAGCCCGGGATGTAGTGTTTTTTGAATAAGATGACTCTTTGAGATAATTGTCTGATGGATGTTTTGTATGGGGGCTCTAATACAGTGTGGCAAATAAATGTGTGGCAAGTAAATGTGTGTATGACTTCCTATAGAGGATGGTCTGTATTGGATATTGGTTCACAGTGATGCACACTAAACCAGCTTCCGTTCACTGAAATAGTGGATAGTATTCTCTTCCTTGTCAATTCTGATGTGGCAAATAAAACTAGGCTTTTGAATAGGTAAAATGATCAAGATAGGCAGTCAGCATTGTATTATTATATTTAAGCTACATCCGTTTGAGTGTAAGGTACAGATAGAAAAGGCATCAGTTATTTTTGTGGGATATTGCTGTGCACAATTGGCTGCCACGTTCGTCCACAAATACACAGTCAATTCACTTTACAGTATATTCTGTGAAGCGCTTTGGGAAGTCTAGAAGACATGAAAAACGCTATATCAAATGCAAGGATTATTATTATTATTTATTATATTATTCTGCTCGATACACTCCTTGAAGTGCATTTGTTGTATTTCTCCCAAACATTTGTTGTTCTCCGATGAAGATACTGGATTAATTTTTCCTTTTACATGGTATAGTTGCATGGCCACCACTGTAAGCTGCTTTATTGAATTACAGTAGGATATTTGTTTAAACTTTTTTTTAATGATTTTTCACTAATAAATACTGACTTTTTGGTTGAAAGTCAGTCAAAAAACATGTTTTACCCACATATCACTTATAAAAAATGAAAAACGTCTAGAAGACGTGAAAAGCTCTATATCAAATGCAAGGATTATTATTAGACAATTTTACTCAACGTCTGTTATGGTGGGCTCACATTCCTGAGATCTGCCTTTCTGCACTGCCAGTTTCAAGAATCTGTGTAATATGATGCACTCAAAGGTGAGCGAGTTTTGGGAATCTGCATGTTCATTACATTTCACGGGCTGGTAAATTGTTTTCCTAGAGTTCCAGTTCAGGAAGGTTGAGTTTTGGAATCTACACAACATAATGCATCTCACTTCCTTCCTGTGAAAATATCAATTGGATTAGTTACCTTGATCAATGTAAGCACTTTTTTTTCACAAAAAAAAATGTTTTATTGCTATCTAATTTCCTTAAAGTTTTTGAATTTCCAAAATAAATCCTGAATTTACCTGGGTCTTTGTGTTAAATTCAATCCCCCTCCCCCAGATTTTCTCCTGTATTTTTCAGGGGGGAAAAAAGACTCCGACAATTACTTTGGTTTTTATTTTGTGGATAAAAACTTACTTTAATGGTTCTTAGCTATTTGATAGGGATTGGGAGGGTGGAGGAGGGGGGACAATTCTCAAGTTCGTTACAGTCCAAAGAATGCTTACTCATGCAAATCTCCAACAAGATTCACTGGTGAGCATTTGGGAGCAAAAACCACAGGTGACTTTCCCCTCTCAGACCTAAGCCACAATTATGCAGCACCTCAATAATTGACCTAATTAACATCAGCACAAATCGAGGATTGAAACTGGGATCTTCCCAAATCTCTATTGCTCAACCACTCATTGGATAATTTTGATGTTTTCCACATAGATATGATCATGTATTTATAAAATCTTTGTCACTCCATTTTGAAATGTAGCTTTTCCGGCTTTCCAAACAAAACATTTTTCCCAAACAGTTTTTCTTGAAATCTTTAAATAAAATCTGTCAAAGAATATACACAATGAAGGGTTTGAATTTTTTTTCAGGTGGGTTGTGGGGTATAAGCATTTGTGGGGACAAGAATTTCAAAACATTCTGTTCATTTGTTTATGGAGTTTGGATGGCTCTAACAAAGTTTAGACAGTTTTGAGAGGAACCTTAATTTGGGTCAAACATTAAATTTAAATAAAAACATGGTTTGAATTCTTGAATTCTGGCTAGTAGTTGTTCCAATAAAGTAAATAATTCAGGATTTGTGAAGTTCCTATTTTTAACAAAAATAAAACATTTTTTGGTGAGAATACTCTTTTTCATTTTATTGAAGTTCATTAATACAAAACTGTTGCTCTGGTTTTTAACAGCTGCATTTGAATATGTTGTGCCCTGTTTTCACTGCTGGAAAAGAGAACATTACTCCCAACAATAAAGTGATTAGGAATGGGAAACCAGAATTAGGCTCCGTTAAATGCCAGCAATACCCCAACGCACACTCTGGGATCCCCAAGCCTTGGCTCTTGCCAACCTGCGCTTAATACTTACAGGAATTAGGTAAGCAGGATGCATCCCTTCAGGGAGAGAGTACACATTCCATTCCAACAATCTATCTCTGGGATTTCCATGTGTAGGTGGGATGCATGGAATTCACTGTTTGGTTTGGATACTCTTAGGCATGGGGATGGGTTTCCACATGTGTCAGATACCCGGTTGAGCAAAAAAATAATTAGGCTCCCCTCCAAATTGTACTAAGACCATAAGGCGTAGGTGCAGGAATAGGCCATTCAGCCCCTCGAGCCTGCCCCGCCATTTAATAAGATCATGGCTGATCTTCTAACCTAATTCCATTTACCCGCCCTATCCCCATATCCCTTAATCCCTCTATCCTTTAGAAATCTATCAACCTCAGTCTTGAATCTATTCTAGGGTAGAGAATTTCACAAATTCACCACCCTCTGAGTGAAGAAACGTTTCCTCAACTCAGTTCGAAAAGCTGACCCTTAATCTTGAGACTATGACCCCTAGTTTTAGATTGTGGCTGAGTAGAGTTCTGCATATTCACAATAAGTGCAGACTGTTCAATGTTATTAAAGAGCTAGAGGACATTTCTCAAGGTCTTCCCCTTAAGACCATTGTCTTAAAATTTAAGGTTACATTTAAATATTTAAAATGTTAAATTGGGTTTTAATTTGGATGCTAGTTTTTATCAATGTCTGTAAAAAGCCAGCTTTCAAATTAACAGTGAATTTAACAATTTTCCAAGAAGCTGCATGATCGTAAATCTTAAGAGCATTGTCTTGAAGCTGAAACCATTTGAAGTATGTTGAGCCTCAAGAGTGCAACAGACTCTTTAATAACATTAAAAACTGTGTCTTGAAACATTTTTGGTTCCTGACCTGCCAAATAAGTTTCTAATATAGCTGGAGCTGATTGCACTGTTTTCATCTATACTACAGGGATGTAAATCTATATGTGATCAAAAACCTTCCTCTCTAACCAACCGGTGGATAGAAACACCATTTGCTGGTGAATCATGATTTTCCTGTCTTTTTTGCAGCAATTAGTCTAACATAAAATAGCCATTAAATATTTTTAGCTTTAAGGAGCAGAACATAATGCAAATAAAAGTGAGGTTAATTTGTGTTTTTTTTATATAAGTGGCTTATGAATTTTGGTTATTGGCAATGCTCCCAACTATTCGCTATGAAGTGATGCAAGTCCAGGCATAAAATGAACTGTGTTTTTCATTATATCACAACCAAATTGAATCTAGTGTAAACCTGCCCTCAACGTGGGTCTACTTGAAGCCAAGGTCAATTCATCAGGCAAATGTCACAGTAGTGACATTTTGAGGATGGATTTCAGGTCTGATCTGACCTCAAATTGCATTGTAAATGAGGATTTACTGACCCAATTGCAGTGAATGTTTAAATGTAATTTTTTCTTGAATGTTGTGTGATGTAGTTCTGAGGCTTGTTTGAATGAAACATGAAATTGGAGGATTATCATTTGACATCAATACCCCAGTGACTAACGATTCTGTGCAAAGCAAGCTGTGGTTTCCTCTAAAAATATTTTTTGTACTCCTGTCATGAATAAATCATGGTGCTAGAATCTCTAAAGTATAAATACTATATATCACAGTAAATTAGATCACCTAAAACTCCCAATCCTTTGCGATACTTTCGGAACATTCTTCAAAGTACACACCGTTACACTTGACATTAATACCTACAGAGAAAGTTTCTTTGAATTACTAAAAGGTCATTTCAAAGCTCATAATAGTGAATTTACAGAGATTAATCATTGGAACACTAAATTAGCCAACAAACTTTTCTGTATTTTTTAAAAAATTAGAATTAAATTAAAAAAAAATTTTTTAGGATTTAATTAAAACTAGTTTTATTTCTTTTCACTACATGATTATCTGTTCACTTTTGAATTGAAAAAACATCCTTTTTAGGTCTGCTTGCACTACACTTAAGGACTTAAAGTATTTAGTTTCAGTCAGTTCAGATATTAAGTAGATATTCAGAATTGGATTTCACGGTCTGAGACAATGTTTTAGTTTGAAGGTTAAAATTCTAGGTGATGTGGAATTTTTATGTAAATATCTATAATTCATCTTCAGTCTTGTTATGTAATTATCATTTGAGAACTGGTTTCAAGAAAGTTTGGAAACAGTTCTCAGATTTGAAAGGAAATATACTTTCCATTGATCATATTCCAAATCAGTCATGATTCAGTTTGATTTATGAGTTAAACAAACTACAAATTTAAAAAAGTAATTTGCTTGGCTGGCAAGTTGCAGAACGAATGAGAATTACTTTTATTGATCATTA